AGAAGAGGATTGGGAGAATGTCATATGGTCAGATGAAACCAAAATAGAACTTTTTGGTAAAAACTCAACTCGTCGTGTTTGGAGGACAAAGAATGCTGAGTTGCATCCAAAGAACACCATACCTACTGTGAAGCATGGGGGTGGAAACATCATGCTTTGGGGCTGTTTTTCTGCAAAGGGACCAGGACGACTGATCCGTGTAAAGGAAAGAATGAATGGGGCCATGTATCGTGAGATTTTGAGTGAAAACCTCCTTCCATCAGCAAGGGCATTGAAGATGAAACGTGGCTGGGTCTTTCAGCATGACAATGATCCCAAACACACCGCCCGGGCAACGAAGGAGTGGCTTCGTAAGAAGCATTTCAAGGTCCAGGGGCCTAATATATCAATCTTGCGTACGCACGAAAACACGGCGTACGCCAGCTTTCACGTTCACGGTCAGATGTACTAACAGTGAAATTAACGTAAGAATGTGCGTTCTTCCACGTAAACTTCAGGCCTGGCGTACGTACATTTTTGTGATGTTTGTCCGTTGGCGACTCATAGAGGCAATAAAGTGAAGTGGCAAACATTACACTACGAACTGTTCTATCGCACCTGCCAGATATTGCTTATAATTTGTAATTGATAAATGATTTGCCATATTATTGTCACACGAGTCTTATTAGAATATTCTATTAATTATGCAATTAAGTAAGAACATATATAAAGGATGTGAAAATTGATACAACCCGTCTAGCAATGGCAGCTTTGGCTTTATTAGAAGACATTTTCAATGGACAAATCCGGAGAGAACGAGTTTTTAGGGACCACGGTGATTTTCTGGCCCACGACGATGACTGGCTCATCAGCCGTTTCAGATTTCCAAGGGCTATACTCTTGGAGCTCTGCGCTGAGTTGGGTCCGAATTTGGAAAGAGAGACAGTGAGGAGCCACGCATTACCCGTTCCTTTACAGGTGCTTACTACACTTGGTTTCCTAGCAACCGGTTCTTTCCAAAGAGAACTGGCAGACCGCTCAGGAATAAGCCAGTCGTGTTTGAGCCGTGCAATGCCACCTGTATGGGACGGCATCATCCGCTTGTCTACCAGGTATATAACGTTCCCATACGATGCAGGTGACCAGCCAAACATCAAAGCGCAATTTGCAGCGATAGCCGGTTTTCCTAATGTAATCGGAGCGATCGACTGCACACATATTGCTATAAAGGCGCCATCTGAAGACGAATTTGCATATGTGAATCGGAAACATTTCCATTCAATAAATGTGCAGATTATATGTGATGCACAAATGCGCCTAACAAATATTGTGGCAAGGTGGCCTGGGTCAACCCATGATTCATATATCCTTACAAACAGCATGGTTGGGATGAGACTCCAAGCTGGCAGGGTGCGCGATGGGTGGCTACTTGGTAAGTTATGCATTTAAATGTATGGTTCTATCTAAAAGTAAAATGTTTGTGTCTGTAATTATTATTACTGCCCATCAGGAGACAGTGGTTATCCACTAAAGACGTGGCTGTTAACCCCCCTCACCAACCCACAAACTGACCGAGAGCGCAGATACAATGATGCCCATTCCCGCACTCGGTCAGTTGTGGAGCGGGCGATTGGGCAGCTGAAATGTCGGTGGCGCTGCCTTGACAGGACCGGGGGGATGCTGTTATACCGCCCTGACAAGGTTTGCCGCATCATACTGGCCTGTGGAGTGCTGCACAATGTCGCGCACAGGCATGGCATACCCCTTGGTGAGGTGGGGGCACCGCCAGATGACCCTGACCCAGGACCAGTATATGTGCAGCACAATCAACAAGCCATTCAGGCCCGTCAACGTGTAATTGCGACAATATAAATGGTACTCAGACACAAAGTTCATTTTTTGACCAATTCTTTTAATGAATGGCTTATTTATGTGAGTGCGTCAGTGACATTTTTAAGGTGACTGTTCATTTCTTCAATGGCCCTAACAATTTGTTGTTGTGACTCCAGAACAGCATGCGTCAAGACACGGCCAGATGGACGGGCTTCAGCACTGGGGGGAACATTAGAGACACGGGAGACGCTGGACTGAATGGGCTCTGGCTGCTCAGGTGGTGCGGACTCTGAGTGCGTGCCAGTGGACGTTCCTGCGGTTCCTAAGTCCAATTAAACACAGGCACATCTTAACAGTAATTTGAGTCTGTTCCTTATTAATGGGTACACGCATTTGCAATAAAAGCAGTGGATACGTGAAATCTCTGGTGTACCTTTTGCTATATTGCATGCATTTTAAAATTAAACGGTGGCTGGCTATGTATATCAAAGTTAAGGAAATAAATCTGAGTCACCTTGCTGGCAGTCCTGTAGTATATCCGAGTCTCCTACATCAGCGGATACGATTCCAGAGATTAACGTGTCTCCTACAATAGAGGCAACTCTCTGATCAAAGGGTGCAAGTTCATCGGTCCCTGTACCACCGCCTGTTCTGCCCACACTTTGTCGGTGCGCAGCAGTTCTCCGCTTAACTTCCACCTTTATGTCTGACCATTTCTTCTTCAGTTCATTTACGGTGCGACTCTCAGATCCCACCGCGTTGACGGCATCAGACAAACTCGCCCACTATTTTTTCTTTCTTTTGTTATTAATTCCAGAGGACAGATTTCCAAATAAAATATTTTTTCTTGTTTCTACCTCTGATAGTAGCACCTCTAATTCGTTTTCAGTGAAATTTCGTTTCTTGCTTGCTTTAGCCATGTTCTTGCAGGTTTCTTTTGCCAAATTGGACTAATTACCATATTTAAATTGATTTAATTGAGGGAGGAGACAGGGTGTGGTGTGGTGCTCGTGCATGTGCGCTCAATTTCGCGTTGATTGGGATGTACAAAGAGAATGTATGGGGAATGCTGCGTACGCAGAGATTCATACATCAGATTTTTTTGGTGCGTACGCACATTTATGGCTTTGTCCGTACGCAATGTTTTAGTATGAATTCAACGCAAGTCTTTGTACATGAGGCCCCTGGAGTGGCCTAGCCAGTCTCCAGATCTCAACCCCATAGAAAATCTTTGGAGGGAGTTGAAAGTCTGTGTTGCCCAGCGACAGCCCCAAAACATCACTGCTCTAGAGGAGATCTGCATGGAGGAATGGGCCAAAATACCAGCAACAGTGTGTGAAAACCTTGTGAAGACTTACAGAAAACGTTTGACCTGTGTCATTGCCAACAAAGGGTATATAACAAAGTATTGAGAAACTTTTGTTATTGACCAAATACTTATTTTCCACCATAATTTGCAAATAAATTCATAACAAATCCTACAATGTGATTTTCTGGAGAAAAAAAATCTCATTTTGTCTGTCATAGTTGACGTGTACCTATGATGAAAATTACAGGCCTCATCTTTTTAAGTGGGAGAACTTGCACAATTGGTGGCTGACTAAATACTTTTTTTCCCCCACTGTGTGTGTGTGTATGTATATGTGTATATATATATATATATATATATATATATATATATATATATATATATATATATATATATATATATATATATATATATATATATATATATATACACACACACACACACAGCTCAAAAAAATTAAGGGAACACTAAAATAACATCCTAGATCTGAATGAATGAAATAATCTTATTAAATACTTTTTTCTTTACATAGTTGAATGTGCTGACAACAAAATCACACAAATTATCAATGGAAATCAAATGTATCAACCCATGGAGGTCTGGATTTGGAGTCACCCTCAAAATTAAAGTGGAAAACCACACTACAGGCTGATCCAACTTTGATGTAATGGCCTCAGTAGTGTGTGGCCTCCACGTGCCTGTATGACCTCCCTACAACGCCTGGGCATGCTCCTGATGAGGTGGCGGATGGTCTCCTGAGGGATCTCCTCCCAGACCTGGACTAAAGCATCCGCCAACTCCTGGACAGTCTGTGGTGCAACGTGGCGTTGGTGGATGGAGCGAGACATGATGTCCCAGATGTGCTCAATTGGATTCAGGTCTGGGGAACGGGCGGGCCAGTCCATAGCATCAATGCCTTCCTCTTGCAGGAACTGCTGACACACTCCAGCCACATGAGGTCTAGCATTGTCTTGCATTAGGAGGAACCCAGGGCCAACCGCACCAGCATATGGTCTCACAAGGGGTCTGAGGATCTCATCTTGGTACCTAATGGCAGTCAGGCTATCTCTGGCGAGCACATGGAGGGCTGTGCGGCCCCCCAAAGAAATGCCACCCCACACCATGACTGACCCACCGCCAAACCGGTCATGCTGGAGGATGTTGCAGGCAGCAGAACGTTCTCCACGGCGTCTCCAGACTCTGTCACGTCTGTCACATGTGCTCAGTGTGAACCTGCTTTCATCTGTGAAGAGCACAGGGCGCCAGTGGCAAATTTGCCAATCTTGGTATTTAAAGCCTTAGGCTAAATAAATCATTATGGAGCGCAGACTAAGCCATAACAGTTTGAACCCGATGGTTAGTGCAGGCAATAGACGAGGGTATAACCTATTGTACACTAATCTTCCAACATTACCATGGGTTGAAGAACTGAACCCAACTTTCAGGATGACTCAAACCACTATTTTTGATTTATCAGTATATTTTGTGCGTAAAGGCTCTTCAAACCAGTTTTTTATGATTAATACATTATTTCCTAAATAATCTACCAATTGGTGCTGAAACAGAGACAAATATGCATATACATTTCTTTAGATGGCTCTTTCATTGAGCCCTAATGTTCTGAACCCGTTCTCTCGATTTATTCTAGTGAGTCTGTCGACTAAATTCAAACTAAAAGGTACACCGAATTTAAAGGGATGGCTTAAGATAAACATACTGAAACCCCACAAGAAAATATCTTGGCCACCAAGTGTGAGGGTTTTCAGCAGTTGAATGAAATGTATTCAGAGCGTGCAAGGTCGCCAGCCACACCTGCTACACAACTGAATAAGGTAAGCCTGAATACCAAATACTGAGAAGTACGTAGGAAAGGCGGACATGATGTTGGACCTTTTAATGAAAAGTAATGTACAGTTCCCAAATGACCACTTCTCTATTAAAAAAATACATTTTGAAGTGGACCATGATTATCCTACTTCAAATACAACTAATACAGACTACTCAATTCAAGTCCTATTTCGTGTCTAATAGAGCTTCAAGTGTCCAGTGACTTTGTCCACAAGATCAGCTGGTCCAGGGCCTACTCCCAACACAGTACGGGATCCTGGTGCTATCTGGGTCCTCCCTGCATCTTGGATCAGACTGACAGGCAGCCCTACCTCTTTGGCATGGGTTAGCAGTTCTATCAGACTGTCCTCATCTGGAGCTTTAACCACAACCTTGGGCTGGCCACAGTACTCCCATTGCTTCAGAAGCTCAGGGTTCCTGCGCTGGACCTGCTTATAGGCCGACACAGCAGCGTGTGAGCACTGGGCTGCCACTTTCCCCTTGCCCATCTTCAGGTCGGATCGGACCACCAGGATCATTTTGAACTCCCCTCCTTCTCCCATGACGCTGGCGGCCATTTCACCCCCGCTGCCATTCCCCATCGCCGCCCCGATGAGGTCTTTGGAGGAGTTGCTGAACCGAGCCCGGACGTGCCAGCCAAGGCAAAGTCCACAGCCCACTCCTCCCAATATTCCAATGGCTACCTGGCCGTATAGGGAATCCATCTTGAGACTTGTCAAACCTGAAAGTTGATTTAAGGCTGTGAATTTATTAAAGGCAATCTGAATTTATTGTAGGCTTCATCTCTTAGCTACATAGTCTAAGTATGCCTTTCACTGTAATGTCTACACCTGTTGTATTCGGCGCATGTGGCGAATAAAATTTGATTTGTTAGGGCCCTATATAATCATTTAAATGTTTGGCCTGATTCTGTTTTTCCCTAAATTCCGTTTTGTTTTTCCAGGTGTCCATTTTCCCGTTTTATTTCAGGTTTTTGCTATCAAAATCACACTTCTAATTTCATATGAATAACAACTATGTTAGTTGTTCTAAGTCAACAATAATGATTATACTACATCAGGACACCACTTTCGAGGTCTAGGAAAATTCGATTAAATTAAATTTCGATTTGTGGGTGTAGTTACCCTATAATTCCAGTGCGCACATTGCAAGAGGATGTTTAGTTATGTTTTTGGATTGATGCAAATAATCATGATATCATTCTGGCAGGTATGCATAGGCTACTTTGTAGTTAACATTGAATTGATTAGGTTTTTGGGTTAACATCTACCAGAAGATTTTTCATTAACGTCATCGCTAACGGCTACACAAAGTGGTAGCTGGGCGCACATACACAGACCGGGGAATTCTCGTTGCCTCTTCAGAAGGTTGCATTAAATAAGAATCACTGTTGCATTCTGTTTGTCTTATGATAAACGTGTGCTAATTAATGTAATACATAGTTGATTCCCTAAGTTCAATACGTTTAATATTGTTGAATTCCGTTAAATTTTATGGATTCCGTCCATTTTATAGGGCCCTACATTGTTGGCTAACTAGTTAGGCACTAAAATCACCTAGCTACCTAAGGTTACCCTAAATGTGTTTCCACTTCAGACAAACATTGACCTGTCATCAGTTGATCTGATAGGATTGTTGAACATGGTAACTTAACTGTTTGACTCAGGGGAGAGAACAAGAGATTCCGAACTTACAGAGTAGGCTACCGTCAAAATATCTTTGCTACCATTGAACTAGCATGTAACTAACGAGTTAGCTATCCTAAGTCAACTTCGCAATATCACCTCAATGGAGGCAGAATTCGTAACCTTTTTACCTGACGCCTTCATAAAGTCATAACATATTGCATAGCAGTTTATGACCACATTTCACCGATTTTTACCTGCTCCCAGCGAGATCAACGCGCTTACATTCGTCTTCATCCACCGTCCACTTCTGATGACGTCACAGTAAATACACTGGGCACGTTTCAGTATGAAGAGGCGACAACTGGGAGATGCAAATAAATTGGGGGTGTCTCTGAGTTTATGCAGCTTTTTAGGTTTTATGTTCTATTAATAATCAAGATTATTGAAGTTTTTGAAAATAACATGGTTCAATTTCAAAGTATTACTATCCCATGTATTTAATTAATAGATTCTCTAGGTCAGTCTTTTTAATGGTGGGTGCACATGTCAGAGTAAAGAAATTAAGAAAAAAGTGTAGTAATCATGGCCAAATACCGACTGGGCACTCAAGGCACGTGCCCAGGGGCTCCTCACTCAGATATCATATTTACATGGCATAAGTTACTGCAAAGATTGCTCTCCACCCATGGTAAAATTAGTCGAATTGCATGAAATTTGTTATAAAATTGCTAAATGTTCTCTCAAGACTGCAAATGTTAAGAAAACGACTGCACTGATTTGTTGCTCTCGAACGCACCCTGAGCATGTGCCGCTCAGCTTTACCTGGCTTTGAAGTACCTGGATATACTCATCGCCTATCTGTTAATGGATGGGGCTTAGATCAAAGCTCATCCAAATGATAAGGTGTTTTGTGGTACTACTATACACCATTCCTATTGGCTCGTGGTCTGCGCTTCAGCGGAAGTACACGCAGACACTGAAGAGGAAGCGAGACACCAATAGAGATAGATAGAGGACTCATCTTTGTATCTGTGCCATTATAGCGTCTGTGACACCACAAGCGCCATTGAGGCAATCTCCATTTTGAAGTAGTCAATTTTCTTCTTAACGATTGGCTGATCCCTCCTGATGACCTGTTTGGACACGACTCCAACAGTGTCATCATGAGGCATCAGCCAATGAAGTTCGAAGTCCCACCCAGTTGACTACATTAAAATGGTGGAAGTCCTTAATGGCGCTGCCCATGCTTAAATGACCTTTTGGCCATTAGAGGCCTCTATCATTCTCTATGGACACACCCCACAGTTTCTTTCTGGTTTAATGAAAGTCAATGAACTAAGTAGACCATACACAGCTGCTATTGCATTGGTGTCTATGGGAGACATGTCCAGTTAAGTAGATCGGAACTTTTTTCAATGGTATGAAAAATGTATGCACTCACTAACTGAAAGTCGCTCTGGATAAGAGCGTCTGCTAAATGACTAAAATGTAAATGTAAAATGTAAACGGCCTCAGTGAACTATCTTTCTTTATCGACCATCTTTGGTACGCGGTCCATGGAATAAAACACACGTCTGTTTCCTGTGCTGTAGGCTGCGGCGTTTGACAGCTCGAGAGTGAAAGGAGAAGGTAGGGGGACTATTTGTATCGTTCATGTCTGCTCATTGTCGTGGCGTGTTCATAATAGTAGTTAGTAGAATAACATTAGGACACATCCAGTCTATCCCCATTTGACATTTGGCTATCCTCCATCATCAGCATGTCTTTGTAAAATGTCAGTCTAAGGCTACTGACGCGTGCCAGTGCCAGGTTTTGCTCAGGATAAAATAAGGTTTACATTGCTATAGGTACCCAAATAATATATTTTGAGCTGCTCTAAAATAAAATAAGTGAATGAAATAGTGAGTCCTTGATGATTGCAAATGTTTTAGTGTCTGGTGAAAAACCTGTTGGCAGGATAATGCGTGAACATTCTGTTCTGTATGCACCTGGCATCAACTTGCCAGTCTGTTCTGTTCAAGGTTAACTTGTTAATTTCGTGCTCTTAACTTTTTCTCGAGGATCTTTGGCTGGATCATTTATCCTCTAGAGGTGCTAGCTGGCAAATTAAAAGTGATCTAAAATTATCTATGGTGAGATTAACACCAATTAACACCAAGTGTTTAGGCGGTCATTTTGACTGCATATGAATTTAAAACTGAAATATCGCTGAAATGTTTAAAGTCATTCCCACCTCCGTCCTTAACTTTTACTAAATACGTTTATTTAACACATATGTTGTTAGTATTTTGATATCAATAACAGAATTTGCGTTATAAGCAGTTTTAAGAGGACATATGACATATCATCCCCCCGTAACTCCTACAGTCACATGCAGTTAAGACGTTCTGATTTCTATAAAGTATCAGAAATAGCAGATTCTGAAGTTTCCAAAACACGTACCTTTGCCAAATAACTCTTAAAATAAGAGATTAGCTATATTTCTAAATATCACTTCTTCCAAAAATAACCGCAGTTCTTTTGCACTCCACATGTGAGCATGCGGCAGAAGATTGCCTACAGTAACAAACATAAACTAATGAAAATGCTATTGTGCTATTTTTTCGTATTCGAATGTTACCCAAGACATTCATAAACACAACCAAATAATGATTTTTCCAATCGCATATATGACATTTATTTCCTATTTTGTTCTATACTGCTCTCCTTTTGATCCTCGATAACATCACAAATTCCCATCAGATGAACTCCTTGAATGCCCTACTCCTTGAAGTTTGCAGTTGTGTCTAAAAAACACTATTTTGTTCAAAACATATATATTTTTAGCCCTTTAATGCAGTGTTTCCCAACCAGGGGTACTAGTGTAATCGGTAACGTCACTCGCTCTGAGACCTTGAAGTAGTTGTTGTGGAGCAATAGTAACAATGCTTTGTGTGAGGCAGTTGTTGATGTATTCAGATGGTCCCTGGTTCAAGCCCAGGTTGGGGCGAGGAGAGGGACGGAAGCAAAAATGTTACATTGGTGCCATGACCCGGATCACTTAGTTGGGCAGCCCAGCTGCTGGTGTTGCTGCGAAGGAGGAGGTCAAAGGTGGGTGAGTGTAACCGGTGTGAAATGGCTAGCTAGTTAACGGTGCACGCTTGTTGCGTTTCAATCGATGACGTCACTCGCTGAGCCCTTCAAGTATTTGTTTCCTTGCTCTGCATGGGCTGCAGCTTTTGTGGAGCAATAGGTAACCATGCTTCGTGGGAGGCAGTTGAGGATGTGTTTCAAAGGGTCCTTGATTCAAGTCCAGGTTGGGGCAACACTGTTACACTAGGACCCCTGCCGTACTTGGCCTATACACATGTGGGTACTGGTAATAGGCCTACTGGTAAAATGCACGAGGGGGTACTTCAGGGGTACACCGGGCAGAGCAAAATTCAGTTGGTGGTACAGTAACAGAAAAATGTTGGGAACCACTGCTTTAGTGTGTTTACTTTACTGTATTTGTAGGGTACTAGGGGGTAACTAGTAGTGGATTAGTTGTGAGCAGTGCAGGAGGTGGGCTCATGAGTTGTGCTCCAATCTTACTGGGGATAGCTTTATTTGTGACCTATGTACAAATTAGAATCCTAGCAGAGCATAAGAGAGTTGCCACATCAATGTTACACTGAGTTAATTAGTTAAGTTATTGTTATTAAATGTTATATTCCAATGTTATTTAATGTTATTAGTTATATTCCATTCCAATATTATATTCCAATTAATATTTTTTTATGAATTATAAACAATTGAAAATCTTTTGCTCCTGAATGTCATTTTTAAAGACTGCTGGGATTCAAAATCTTGCATTATTCAAATAATATTTAGTGCATTGTATATAATGAATTGTATGGAACAACAATGAAAGAACAAATAAAATTAATGTGCAGGTGAGTTAAAGAGGGACTTTACATCAAATATCCTCATAGTGCAGATATTAATGGTGACATGTGCAACACCATTCCCCCCCCCCCATATTTTATTTAAATAATAAAAATAAGACAGCTACACTTAGCTTTTAAGTATTACTTACTAAAGAATTTCTAAATAAAACTGATTAAAATCGATTTTAACACACTTGTGTGAAACCCTATGCTATAATCTTCTAGCGGGGTAACTGGCACACCCAGGGCCAGTTACTCCATTTCATGAAATAACTAAAAAAGTGTAAACTGTAGCCATTTATTTACCTTTATAGTTTATTTGCCTAAACATGACATTCATCCACATGCAATTTCTTTCTCCAAACATTGCTTTTTTTGTGTCAGCAATTAGACATTGTTAATAGGGGGGGGCTAGTTACCCCTAGAACCCTATTTGGGATGTGGCTTTTCAACAGGAAAAGTTCCAAAATCACTGGTCTATAAATCTGCTATTTTAGAGGGGGACTGTTACTGATACAGGTATTCTGTATGTGTATTTGTGTTTTTCCTCTCCTTCTGCCCTAATCACAGGTCGTTGGTGTGTCCCACCTGTCAGATTGCTGAGGTGTACCAACCAGTGGACACTCCTCCTGATTGCACCACCTGTTTCTGGTTTTCATTACCCAATCACATCACACATCCCCTGGTTTAAAAACCCATTCAGTTGTGTTTCTCCCAATACTCTTTTTTTTTTCCCTCACACATTAGGCTACACAGACACAAACTTCTTGTCACAGACCGTTTTGATAGATTGACTACCTTCATACACCACAGTCATAGGCCATACATCTCACTTTGTCCTGTTCCATGTGAGTATGTTTTACTGTGGGGTCTTTTTTGCTATTGTCTAGTCACTCGTTTGCAGTTTAGTCCCTATTTTACCTATGTTTGTTTGTGCCTGGGGAAAAAGGGCATTTTTTGCAGTTAGATCTGAGTGGACCACCCACTGTATTTTTGTATAGTTAGTAGCAGGCGAAGCGGTTCTTTAGGCAGGCAGGATCAGTTTAGGGGTTTTTGAATTTATTATTTCATTCCTTGGGTCCAGCTCAGCCCCTTTCCCCAAACCGTTTACCGTGTGTTTAAAATAAACGTTTTGTGTTTGACGGTAGGATTGGTTGTCAGTGTATTTTGTTCTCACTGTTCCTTTTCACTATTCTAATTCACATGAGTTATGTTACGGGTGTCTTTACCATCCACCCTAGACTTTTAAAGCCACTAGGTTCGTAACAGGGACCAACTCAGGACAGGATGTTAGGTAATAGCTTGAGTGCAAGAAGGACATATTGTTGTTACATTGGCTCTATCAAGCTTTATTCAAACAACATGCCATGCATTATTTGTTTTCTCTTACTTGGATTGAAATAATGGATGTAGGCCTATTACAATAGCATGCACACAATGGCATGCAATGCATAAGTATGTCATTATAATGCAATACTAGCCACAAATGTATCAGTATTAGACTTTTCAGTGGTAATTTAGGCCATGTCTTCTCAAGACATTACCTGAAAATCTCCTCACCCTGGGTGTCTTCTCAGTTTCGTCTGGGTAAGGCTGCCATTCTCTTTCTTTGCTCAATCCAAATAGAGATTCGTTAGATGCCTGTTGCAGGAAAGTTATATGAATGTATTTTTAAAGCTTTAGTCTTGATCTCTTGGGGTAGTTACTAGGCTAACTATGAAAAGTCGGCTCACATTTACTCCTGCCTGCCACCACCCCCTCTGCAGCCCCCGACTATCCTTCTAGTGATTTATCCCTTTACGTGCCCCCAGTCCCCCACGACACCCCACACTGGGCTATAGTCATGTAGGCTATGATTCTATTACAACCGGAGTTTGAAACTGTGGTTTTGGGTACATTCCTGGCGGACTCAAGACATCTCGCGGGGCGGTGAGTTGCTCTCTCTGCCTCGAACAGTGAAAAATGTGACTTGTGTGCCAAGAGATTCATATTACTTTTTGGTACTGTTGATACTTGAAACCAGTGCGTAGGCTACTGCGTGGAGAGGTTTAGTGTTGCTAGAATTGCTTGTTAAAAACATTTAATTTGACGCGGTAATTTAGACTATCGCGTCCTAGAGTCTGTGGACTATGATTTACGCTTGAGACCACCATCCGTGGAGGATGCACAGCCCAGAACGCGCACGACCCCACAATTCCCAACCAATGCATCTCCGGTATGCGTCCTCTATTCGTCTGAATATGTTGACAGTTTGATAAATGTCTTGAGCTGCACTGACAATTCGAGAAGTATGAAAGCCAACGGTCCAATATTCGAGAACACTCCTGTGCGTACAAGTACAAACCCTTAACGGCGCACGGGGCCTCACGCACCTAGTCTGTTGTTTTTGAAGGAAGTTATTGCGTAATCGAGTCCCGTTTTGGCACACTACGCGCTGCTGGATTTACACCACGCGCTGTTTTGTTCTTTTCAGCAGTATTTTGAAATGGCAGATTGTGAAAACAACATGAGTAAATCAATGATCGTCGTCTAATGATGAAGCGCAGTCGGGTGGACTACTACAGACCGTTGTGATGCTGGGAATTGGTTAACATTTTTGCCTCAAGTTGCGTCAACACAGCCAAACAACACTCCCGTTGACGCACGCGAGTAGACTAGACATATTAATTAAAGCAAGGAGCTTGAATAGCTCTCTGCAACGCAGCTGGACATGACTCATGATGCATATTGCTCTCCTTTTTGGATGACTGTCCAGACTGTCAATCCAAAGGTGTTTGGTCTTAGCCAAAGTTACTTCTCTCATGCAAAAACAGTCAAGGTATGATTAGACAGTTAGTTGAAATTGATATGGGGCATCCAATACCTTTACTCCCCCTAAACTTTAAATGTCTGGGTTAACTTTGAGGGTAAGAATCTGTCTGTTGTGCTGCACCAACTCATGTAAATAGCCCCAGTGACCTCACTCTGCATTGTTGAGTGTGTAGGTGTAGCTTATGCTCCTACATGTAGCCTTTAAACTCAATACTGATTGACACATTTTAATGCCGCTGTATCATCAGCCTACTATAAATACTGTCCTCAGTCATCTCTTCCAACCCTGTATTTGTCTTAGAAGGAACCAGTAAAACACAGTACTTTCTCTGTAGTATTGATTTTAAATACCCTGCTCATTCACTTACCAGTTTTTAATGAATTGTATTTGTAATTAGTGATGAACTGTTGCATACCTATATGCCGCCCTATACCATTCAGCATTATGTTTCATTGACCATCACGTTTGTTCCAAAGGCAGCCAGCTATTATTTTCACAAAGGAAGAAAACATGACCCTACTCTGGCCTCAGAATTCCTATCTAGAATCTAAAGAGCCATCAAGGGCCCCTGTAAAGTCAACGATGTACATTGTCTTCTGTCTGTCAGCCCGGTCAATGTGGACGTTTGGAAACTGAATCCAGGGGCCCTCCTGTATTGGAGCCGATGGCACTAAATAGAGGGATTAAGAGGCTGTGACACTGACACTTCCACCAGATTGAGAGCTGAGTGGTCTGCGTGCTGGTACTCTCAGCTCTGAGCTCTCTCTCTCTCTCGCACACACAGCCTCAGAAAAATGGGGGTGGACAGGACACTGGGTTAATAAGTGTCCCTGCTATGTCTCACTCGCACCACCTCCCGTCTCCTTCTGGTTCTGGTCTGTAACATCCCATAGAGCGACTGTGTAGCATAACAGATGTGTCTAGATGCAGAATGATGGATCCTTTCACTGAAGTATCTGGGAAGAGACGAATGCTCAGAAATGTGTTGGCTTGTTAGTGTATTCTTGAGAAAAACGTGGTGGTGGATAGTATCTCTTTTATCACCATTGGTCCTTATCTCTGACACATTACCCTGTTGTCTACGTACTATATAGGTTACCTTGCATCTGCACTGTTCTACTCTGTTCTTCAGAGGCTGCCTGTTGTGATCATTTGGGACATCTAATCTATGACCTTTAAAAAAAAAATAAAGTACAGACACTCACTGACTAGGGGATCAGAGATTTCACAGAGCCTGTGCCGTGTCCTGCAGATTAGTGGTAACCCGATAAAGCGCTGTGCGTGACCTAATGATACTATCACCTTCTGCACTCAGATCACCACTCAGTCACGTCTTGCCAACACCACACTGTCGGTCCCATATCCTGCAGCCCTCTGGTCACGACTTAGCCTACCAACAGCACAGAGTCCCCTAGGTCTGCTCTAACCACAGTCTGTCCCTTATGCAATTTTTGTCGTTCCTCTCTCTAGGTGTCCCCCAGTCCTCCCACTACTCAATGAGATGGCAGAGAATGGGGCAGACTGCGAGCTGCCTAGCGGCCAAGGAACAGCACAACAGGCAGTCTGCAGGTAGGGACCGCTGAATGAACCACTATATAGTTAATGATTGTTATTGTTGACATAACATACAGTGATGTAGGCCTAAGTGTTTTTGTTCACACTGACTGAAGAACATAAAAACCTGCACTTTGACAGTATCACTTGAGTTTATTTAAGCTACACCTTAGCAGTTCACACTGACTGACATGTCTTTAGAGGTGGTTGAGGCAAACCCCACTGTGTGGATGTGTTGATATAGACTCCTTGTCGCTGAGGGAGAGGAAGCAGAGGGACCGTGAGAAGTGCGTGTCTCTAGTGCTATGGAAGAAACCGCTCGTCACGCTACACTACTTCCTGCTTGAGCTGCTCATCACCCTGAAGGACTGGAAGTGGAGGTGAGAAACTCACTCAGACCCTCACCTGTCACCTGTTTTTTGCCGTCATTTAGGACAAGTTTGTGTGGTCTTCTCAATTTTTATATTGTTGAATCAGTGTTACAAAGTAAGTGTTGATTATAACGTTTTGAGTACAAAGTATTGAATAAGTGTTACAAAATGGGAAATAAAGAGTATTGATTAAGTGTTGAAATGGAAAGTATTTTAGTCTCTGTAGAAACAGATGTTAAGTTCACAAATCTCCCCAACACTGTGCTCTATTGCATGTCAGACTGAGCAAGTAAACAGTCTAGCTAGTCTGGTGTTTGTAGGAAGACAAAGGTCTTAGTCCACACATACTCCCTACTGCTGAGGGTGAGGTCATGATATGGCAGCCCAGCCACAGACAGACTTGGAGGCAGCAGGGTCAGAGTCTACACTACAAGATAGAGGCTCTTTGTTAATTTGTCTTTCCTCTATTCCTCGCGTCCTCTGTCCTCGCCTCCTTCTCTAACTGCATTTGGGGAGAAGATCCAAGGTCCCTCCCTTTGGACCTTCTCCTTCAAAATGTTTTGAGAAGGAGGCGAGGAGAAAGGATGTGCAGACAGACAGACCTTGAGACTCTCCCTGCTGCCCTCCTGGCTCGCTCCCCTGTACTTAATCCTTTCTGCCTGGCTGTACAGTCCGACAATACAAGACAGGATCATTTATTAAAACAACTACGTAAGCAGGGAGTAGTTAACCTTCATTGATGTTGCAATGAAAGACACCAATTAGATGCCCTGCCAAAATTGATTTTTTTTTTCCCAGCCCATTTAAAAAAGTGTTTATCAGAATACTATTGTGAGTTTATAGTGAGTTCAGTCGAATAATACTCCCACAAATGCCGTATCACTGCAGGCTCAATGATGATGATGATATGGAACCGGTTTCTGATATGAATAACCTTGCCCCAAACATGATCCCTATGTTTTCCCTGTTTTCAGTCACTTAATACTCTATTGACGTAAGGGCCAGTATGAAAAATGTATGCGCTCACTAACTGTAAGTCGCTCTGGATAAGAGCGTCTGCTAAATGACAAAATGTAAATTAAAGGAGGTCATTGTGCACACCTTGAGAGCCTCTTGTGGTTGAGTCTGAGGGCAACATGTTTATTTACTAAATGACAAGAGGACGTGGTGAATCTCAGGCATCACAAGGCGAGTACCGTGCTGAGAGTATGAGAGAGAGATTCCTATGACCGAAAACATGTTCTGAACAGCGGCATCCTGACGAGACTACGTCGGTGAGCAAATACACCGTCATTGCCCTCTGTTCTACATGGGCGAACGTGCATTCACTGGAGAATAAACTGGATGAGTTCCGTTCGAGACTATCCTATCAAAAAACGGTAATATGCTATGTTTCTCGGAATTGTGGCTGAATGAGGACATGGATAATATACATCTCGCTGGTTTTTCTATGTATGGTCAAGACCGGTCGGCAGACTCGGGTAAGACGAAGGGAGGAGGGGTGTGTCTCTTTTTTTAATAACAGCTGGTGCGCGATCTTTAATGTTAAGGAGTTTTTGCTGCCTGAGTTAGAATACCTCATGAAAAGCTGCAGACCATACTATTTACCAAGAGTGTTTTCATCTATATATTTTGTAGCTGTCTATTTACCACCACAAACCGATGCTGGTACTAAGACCGCACTCAACAAGCTGTATAGGGCCATAAGTAAACAAGAAAATGCATGTTCAGTGGTTGCTCGTGGCTGGGGATTTCAATGCAGGGAAACTTAAATCTGCTTTACCAAATTTTTACGAGCATGTCACCTGTGCAACTGAAGGTGGCAAAACTCTAGATAACTTTTACTCCACACTCAAAAATGCATACAAGACCCTCCCTTTGGCAAATCTGACCATAACTCCATCCTCCTGCTTCCTGCTTACAAGCAAAAACTCAAACAGGAAGTACCAGTGACACGCTCAATGCGGAAGTGGTCCGATGAAGCGGATGCTAAGCTACAGGACTGTTTTGCTAGCACAGACTGGAATATGTTCCAGGATTCATCCATTTAACACATCAGTCACCAGCTTCATTAATAATAAGTCCGTTGACTGTTGTCCCCACAGTAACTGTATGTACATACCCCAACCAGAAGCCATGGATTATAGGCAGCATCTGCACTGAGCTAAAGGCTAGAGCTGCCGCTTTCAAAGAGCGGTACACTATTCCAGACGCTTATAAGAATTCCTGCTACGACCTCCGAGCCATCAAACAGGCAAGCGTCAATACAGGACTAAGATCAAATCCTAATGGATTACCAGGCAAGCTAAATGCCTACTATGCTCACTTTGAGACAAGCAAACTGAACCATGCATGAGAGAACCAGCTGTTCCGGACGACTGTGTGATCTCGCTCTGCGTAGCCGATGTAAGTCCTTTACAGGTTAACATTTGCAAGGCTGCATGGCCAGACAGAATACCAGGACGCATACTCATGTGATGACCAGCTGGCAAGTGTCTTCACTGACATTTTCAACCTATCCCTGCCCCGTCTGTAATACCAACTTATTTCAAGTAGACCACCATAATCCCCGTGCCCAAGAATGCCAAGGTAACCTGCCTAAATGACTATCTCCCTGTAGCACTCACATCTATAGCCATGAAATGTTTTGAAAGGCTGGTCATGGCTCACATTAACACCATCATCCCAGACACCCTGGACCCACTCCAATTTGCATACTGCCCCAACAGATCCACAGATGATCCAATCTCTATTGCACTCAACACTGCCCTCACCCACCTGGACAAAAAGAATACCTATGTAGTAAAAAAACAGCATTTTTACATCTATGCATTCAACGCCATAGTCCCCTCCTAGCTCACCACCAAGCTAAGGACCCTTGGACCAGGCAGTGAGGGTAGGCAACAACACATCCGCCACGCTGACCATCAACACAGGGGCCTCTCAGGGGTGAGTGCTTAGTCCCCTCCTGTACTCCCTGTTTACCCACGACTGTGTGGCCACACAAGACTCCAACATCAAGTTTGCTGATGACACGACGGTGTTAGAACTGATCACCGACGAGGATGAGGCAGCCTATAGGAAGAATGTCAGAGACCTGGCAGTGTAGTGCAAGGACAAGAACCTCTCCCTCAATGTCAGCAAGACAAAGGAGCTGATCGTGGACTACAGGAAACGGAGGAGCAAGCACGCCCCCATCCACATCTGTGTGTAGTGGAGCGGGTCGAGAGCTTCAAGTTCCTCAGTGTCCACATCACAAAGGAATGAACATGGTCCACACAGACCCACACAGTTGTAAAGAGGGCATGACAGCGCCTCTTCATTCTCAGGAGGCTGAATAGATTTGGCATGAGCCCTCAGATCCCCAAAATTCTACAGCTGCACCACTGAGAGCATCTTGACTAGCTGCATCACCGCTTTATACGGCAACTGCAAGGTACCCGACCGCAAGGCGCTACTGAGGGTGGTGAATACAGCCCAGTTCATCACTGGGGCCGAGCTCCCTGCCATCCAGGACCTCTATACCAGGCTGTGTAAAAGGAAGCCCCAAAAAATGGTTTAAGACTCCAGCCACCCAAGCCATAGACTGTTCTCTCTGCTGAACATCAAGTCTGACACTAACAGGCACCTGAACCGCTTCTATCCCCAAGCCATAAGACTGCTAAATAGATAACAAAATGGCTACTATCTGCATTGACCCTTCTATTGTTATTTTCGACTGTCTCAATGCACACTCTGGAACTGACCGTGTATATAGTTTACTTACATTCCTGTGTTCTTCTTATTTCTATTTCTCGTGTGTTTTTGTTGTACTTGAATTTTTCATACTTTTTTCATGGAACTACTGATATAGATTACTGCATTGTTTGTAAAGCGCAAGCAAGAAAGGCTTTTCACTGTACTAGTGCACATGACAATACAACTTTTAGGGTTAGGGTTGAGGCTAGGGTTAGGATTAGAGTTGAGGCTAGGGTAAGGGTTGAGCCAGCATGTGAACATGAAGCAAGGGTTAGGGTTGAGGGTTAGCGTTAGGGTTGAGCCAGAATGTGGATATAAAGGTAAGGGTTAGCTTTATTCACTTAATAATCTCACATTTGATTGAACATGCATTTAAATCATGAACTGCATTTCAGTTAATTCCTGAACAGACAAATAATCTAAACGGCAACCCCTCAGCCTCAGACGCCCACTTAAACACACTGGGAGGATCAGCCTGCGTGCCAGCTCAAATCCAGGGGGCTGATAGTTGTCACCCGCTTCCCTTGAAAAACTGTTTGCCCTACAGCCAATTCTGTCGAATCAAAAGAATTTGCAAAAATACAGTCTGATTTCGACAGAAATATGGCTGAGACGCAAAGAAAATTCAAGGAGAGGGGGTACAAAAATGGTCAGATTAATACTGCCATTGAGAAAATTCAAAACAAATCAAGACATCTCTTTCAAGGACAGTCTCGTAAAAAGAAGCATTCTTACGTTCTAACTACACGCTATTCAAAGTGCTCTGAACAAATTTAAGGGAATCGTTCACAAACATTGGCACATTCTGGGATCCGATGACAGTATAGGTAATGTGTTTTCGGACCCTCCCTTGGTAGTATTCTCGCGGGGCAGAAATCTCAGATCAATTGATAAACTCTGATTTATCACACAAAAATATCTCTTTGCACCTCTACCAGATGGAAACGAGAAGTGTAATGGTTGCGCTCAATTCAATGGCACTTACAAATGTACATCCTCAAAACACCCCCAAACAGGGAAACAGATCCCAATAAAAGGTGTTATCACGTGCTCCACTAAGGCAGTTATTTATCTTATAACTTGTCCTTGTGGTAAAAATGATGTGGGTAAAATAAAGCGTGAATTAAAAGGACGAATCTCGAAGCATCATAGCACCATTAGGTGCAAAAACTCGACGTACCCAGTCGCGGCACACTTTTTGGAAGCGAACCACTCGATTACGTTATATCGGCATCGAACATGTCACCCTCCCTAGGAGAGGTGGTGACCTCGACAACATATTGTTAAGACGAGAGACTGCCTGGATCTTTAATTTATAGACCCTTGCTCCCTTCGGTCTCAACGTAGACTTTGATCTGAAGCCAGTCTTGTGATTTTGCTATTCATTGTAAATGTTTGTGGGCCTATGTAGCCAGATTGTGATCGTATGCTATCCATTCATGTTTTTTCTATGTTCTGTTTATCTGTGAATTAACCAATATCAGTCCACACCCGGCCATGATTAGACACCTGTGTGTGTCCTTTGACACTATATAAACTAGTGACCCACAGTGTTTGTCACTATACCCTGATGAAGATAGCTTGTCTGTCAACGTTGGTTATTATATTATTGCATCTGAGCTCCTAGAGTGTGCAGCTCTCCTTTTCTTTTTCAAGAGCTCAAGGCCAGCCACCATCTGGTCTGCCCATTTGCTCATCCTCCTCTCCCTCCCCCTTATCTTCTTTACCTCCCTCCCCTCCTCCTCTTTTCCCTCTTTCCTCCATCCCTCTCTTCTTTCCTCAGGTTATGGCGACAAAGACATTCTGTCTTCTCTGCTGGTGCTGGTCACCCTCTTCTCTATCGCCTACTCTGTTGAAGGAAAACATCAGAAGGTGAAGTGTGTGTGTGTGTGTGTCACGTCTGTAGTAAATTAGCTGTTCATTTGGTACAGTGTGTGTGCATCAGGGGTTGCTAATTAACGTTCCTAAGCCTTTATAAAGCTGTTGTCTCCAGAGATCACAAGCTGAAAAAAAAGAGTATTAAACTTACTACACACTTACCTTCACACACTTACCTTCACCTGCCCTATTTACCACATGCCCTATTTAATCGGTACATTAGCTGTACCACATGAACAGCTAATTTACTGAGCGCACACACACACTGTACCAAATGAACAGCTAATGTACCACAGTAAAAGTGGCTCCAGAGATCCAGACAGAATTGCTTTAAAGCTGCAGCACCAAATATTTTATTGTCCATGTTAAACTCCTAAACTCTAGTCCTAAGGTGTTACGTCATTAATTCTTGGTAACCCTGAAAACAATTGGACATGGCTGGCACTTCCCACCCAGGCTTTTTAAGAGGCCATGAGAGATGCTGCTGCTGCATATAATGTTTTTGTTTTCCTCTGTTCACTGGGGTTTTCTGGGAAATGAGTTTGGTGCCAGAAAAACTCCACAGTGTTCCCGTAATCTACAACATCACTGGCTCTTCCTGAAAACAACCTGTCTGCCCATTTGAGGAGGTGGTGTTGGTCCATATACTGTATGATTGATGGAGGGAGAGATGGGCGGGGGAAGAGAGGGAGAGAGAGGGAAAGAGTTGTGTAAGAGCTGACTTCCTTGTAGAATAACAGTTATTCTGCTCTTCTCTTTGTGTGTGTTGTTTTGAATCTGAACACTCCTATCCTACGGCCCTGTCCTCTAAAACTCTCAACAACAGGCACTAACTGATGATATTTTGCTCATTCTCCCTCTCTCTCTCTATCACATGCCCTCTCACCCCTGCCACTCTCTGCTTCGCCTCTCTCTATTACTTGCGCTCTCTCACCCTCTCTGCCCCTCTCTCCCTCCCTCACGCTCTCCAGGTAGAATCAGGAATTCCCCAGGGCTGCTGTCTAGGCCCATTACTTTTTTCAATCTTTACTAATGACATGCCACTGGCTTTGAGTAAAGCCAGAGTGTCTATGTATGCCGGATGACTCAACACTATACATGTCAGCTACTACAGCGACTGAAATGACTGCAATACTTAACAAAGAGTTGCAGTTAGTTTCAGAGTGGGTGGCAAGGAATAAGTTAGTCCTAAAGATTTCTAAAACTAAAAGCATTGTATTTGGGACAAATCATTCACTAAACCCTAAACCTCAACTAAATCTTGTAATAAATAATGTGGAAATTGAGCAAGTTGAGGTGACTAAACTGTTTGGAGTAACCCTGGATTGTAAACTGTCATGGTCAAAACATATTGATACAACAGTAGCTAAGATGGGGAGAAGTATGTCCATAATAAAGCGCTGCTCTACCTTAACAGCACTATCAACAAGGCAGGTCCTACAGGCCCTAATTTTGTCACACCTGAACTACTGTTCAGTCATGTGGTCAGGTGCCACAAAAAAGGACTTGCAATTTGCTCAGAACAGGGCTGCATGGCTGGCCCTTGGATGTACACAGAGAGCTAATATTAATAATATGCATGTCAATCTCTCCAACTCAAAGTGGAGGAGAGATTGACTTCATCACTACTTGTATTTATGAGAGGTATTGACATGTTGAATGCACCGAGCTGTCTGTTTGAACTACTGGTGCACAGCACGGTCACCCATGCATACCCCACAAGACATGCCACCAGAGGTCTCTTCACAGTCCCCAAGTCCAGAACAGATTATGGGAGGCGCACAGTACTACATAGAGCCATGACTACATGGAACTCTATTCCACATCAAGTAACTGATGCAGGTAGTAAAATTTAGATTTAAAAAACAGATAAAAACACCTTATGGAACAGCGGGGACTGTGAAGCAACACAAACATAGGCGCAGACACTTGCATACACACGCACTATACACACACGTACACATGGATTTTGTACTGTAGATATGTGGTAGTGGTGGAGTAGGGGCCTGAGGGCACACTGTGTGTTGTGAATGTATTGTAATGTTTTTAAAATTGTATGAACTGCCTTAATTTTTCTGGACCCCAGGAAGAGAAGGCAGCAGCTAATTGGGATCCATAATAAATACAAATACTTGCTCTCTCACCCTCTCCCCACTGCTCCCCCTCTTTTTCTGTGGCGCACTTTCACTTTCTGCCTCATGTTTACCTTCTCTCACTCTCTTGTCCCTCCCTCCTTTCTCTAGAACGGAGTAGGGTGCACACAGTGCACACGCAAAACCTCCTGTCTCTCCTACTTCGTTTTTTCTCTCACTCTGCCTGAGTCTCCCATGGCTGACTGTCTCGGTCTGCTGTGAAGCTGACACTGTCTCTCTGTCTGTGTCTGTCCCCTGTGTGCAGTATGTGCAGCACATGGAGAAGAGGTTCCTGTGGTGTGCCTACTGGGTAGGCTTGGGTATCCTGTCCTCTGTGGGACTGGGGACTGGCCTGCACACCTTCCTCCTGTACCTGGTAAGAACTCTCATTTACAATGCAAATACACATTTCCACAATGGTCAGAGAACACTGTTATATACCATGCAAATACATGTTCATATTCAAAAAGAGATCCTTACAACAGTCTCCTGCCATAGAAATGCATGCTGATGCTCAGATTGCACCTAGCCTAAAAACACTTTCATATACCATCCAAATCCTTGTTACTTCTCAGGTTGAAATATCCTCTCTGTATGATGTTACTTAGTCAGTCCCACTGCGTATGATGTCCGTCTCAAACTCGGTGTTGATGCGTGTGTGTGTATAGAACAGTGTGTTACGTTTCCCTCAGTGAATAGGCACACACTGCGGCGGGTAGCAGTAGTGTTTTGACAGGCAGTCCAAAAAATGAGTGCACTCAATGACCCCGCTGACTGAGTGCATGCAAGGATAGCCAACTTCTCTCCTCCCTTTTTCTCTTTTCCTTATCTCTCTCTCTTTTATTTCTCTCGCCGCCTCTCTCTTTTCTTTCTCTCTCCACCTCTGCTGCTCTCTCTTTTTTTTCCCTTTCCACCCTCCTCTCTCCCCCCTCTCCCTGCCTCTCCCTGTTTTGAGCGGCGGTGCGGAGTGGAAAAATGGGGGCTGGCTGCAGATCTGGGCTCCCAAACATCTGGTAGTCTTTACAGCTTGCTCTGAGAGCATTATTAACACTGACTCCCCCATCTGTCATTTGGGAGCAGCACAGTTGCAGTCCCATTGCATTGCCCAGTGGAGCTGAACTGGAAACTGTGTCCTCCATTCTGTGTTTTGGAGAGCCCACGCAAATGTAATTTGAGACGTTTTTATATTTAAATTTTTTTGGGTGACCTGACTTTCCAAGACGCCTGTCTGTTTCTAAGGAGGACGTTGCCATCTAATGGCCTTTTGATGGATCAGTAGATTTTCAGTGCTGTTTGAGGAATCAGTTAAAGTTGCCTGCTTTTGAATGTGGAGCTGATTGAGACTGCTGGATGTATGGGTGCTATTGCAGGGGATGAATTGTGGGTTTGTGCTCTCCTACCCACAGAGGCCTTGGTAGAACCATAGACTTATGGTTAGAACACTGCTCCTTATCTGATCTAGCTTGTCTATGACGCATGTTCATTTCTACAGGAAATGTTCACTACTACAGGAAACCATATTAATGTTTGTTATGATTTTTGCAATGTTTGATGGTTGCAGCGACTTGTTTATAGAAAAGTTTGTGGTCATACGCACATCCTTAAAAATGTAGGTGCTGGGCTAATAAGGAATACTTGTAAAGAACAGGAAGGCCCGCACACTGTTTATGCTTCCCCAATTCACTGCTTTATTGACAACGTGACTTGTGTCCCCTTTCTAGATAGTGTCTTCTTCACAATGGTTGATGCAGCTTTCCTGCTTGGGGTCAGGGGGTTCACTGTAAACCCATGCCCTTTACCTTCGGTGAGCAGTAGGTGGGGACATTTGTCTGTGAATGTGAGTCAGACGCTGCATGCAGTGTATGTAGGTACTGGCAGTGTTCGAGAGGATCAAAACCGTAATGTATCATGGGTAAATTGTGACTGACTGATCTACAAATAATAATTTACATTTACGTCATTTAGCAGACGCTCTTATCCAGAGCGTGAGTGAGTAGTTATTTGAGTAGTTATTTATGATGCAAGGTTCATTGTAGATCACTCAGTCGACAGTCGCCTGCACTGTTGGCTGCAACGTTAAACAAGCCCACCCAGCAAACCAAAATTGGTTCTGTGAATGTTCCCAGAACATTCATTAGGTCATGGCAAATGTTCTCAACACAAACTGTCCAGTCTGCTGATAATGTTTGTATAAAAAATTTGCTGGATGTTGCAAGAACGTTCCTCAAACAAATGTAATCTGTTCTTCAAAGGTTCCCAGAATGTTTCATTAGGGTGTGAGAACAGTCTGGTGAGAACATTGTGGGGACATCACAAAAGATATGTTTCCAAAACACAAAAACTGTCCAGTTGTGCGGATGATTGTACAATATTTATTTTAGGGTGCAAAAAACATTCACCTGATGTCACAAGAACATTCCCAGAAGACATTTTCTTTAAAGGTTCCCAGAATGTTACTTTAGGTTGTGGGAGCATTGTGGGGATATCACAAGAGAGGTTCCCAAAACACCAAATATGCTCAATTGTGATGACATTCATACAATGTTTAAGTTAGGTTGCACAGGACATTCCTATAATGTTGTCAGAACACCTGGTCTAAGTTCTTTAAAGGTTCCCAGAATATTTAATTAAGTAATGGGAGTTGTCTGGGATGTTTCAAGAATATTCCCACTATGTTCCACAATTTACAGATAATTCAGTTTGTATGATGTTCATAGCATATTAATTTTATGTTTAACATAATATTCCATTGATGTTCACGCAATATACATTTTATCTTGTCTTGGAGGTCCTCAGAACATGTCAAGACCATTTAGAAAATGTTATTTAAGTTTTACCTAATATTACCACAACATTCTCAGCATGCAAATGTGTAGCTCCTTAAAGCAGATTGGAATACATCCCCATTATATTTCTCTCCACGCTTAATGGCCATTCACATTTGAAGGTGATATAGAGACGTGCCATTTTCATTCATAGGACATTTGAACAGCATTTAATCATACAAACACAACTATTTTTTACACTTCAAATGTTGACAATCTGCAATGTTTGGTTCCAAAACCAGGTTTTTTATCCTCTGCGCCACCAGGGAAGCTCTCTTATGTCTTAGTTTTTCAGTATATAGCCATGGCAGTATGGTCAATCGAATTCCATGCTTCCTTTTTTGCCTTCTAATACATACAGTGCATTCGGAAAGTATTCAGGCCCCTTGACTTTTTCCGCATTATGTTACGTTACAGCCTTATTCTAAAATGGATTAAATTGTTTTTTTCCCCTCTTCAATCTACACACAATAGCCCATAATGACAAAGCAAAAATGTTTTTAGAAATGTTTGCTAATTTATTCAAAATAAAAAAAACAGATCATATTTACATAAGTATTCAGACCCTTTACTCAGTACTTTGTTAAAGCACCTTTGGCAGCGATTACAGCCTCGATTCTTCTTGGGTATGACGCTACAAGCTTGGCACACCTGTATTTGGGGAGTTTCTCCCATTCTTCTCTGCAGATCCTCTCAAGCTCTGTCAGGTTGGATGGGGAGCGTTGCTGCACAGCTATTTTCAGGTCTCTCCAGAGATGTTCGATCGGGTTCAAGTCCAGGTTCTGGCTGGGCCACTCAAGGACATTCAGAGACTTGTCCCGAAGCCACTCCTGCATTGTCTTGGCTGTGTGCTTAGGGTCGTTGTTCTGTTGGAAGGTGAACCTTCGCCCCAGTCTGAGGTCCTGAGCGCTCTGGAGCAGGTTTTCATCAATGATTTCTCTGTACTTTGCTCCGTTCATCTTTCCCTCGATCCTGACTAGTCTCCCAGTCCCTGCCACTGAAAAACATCCCCACAGTATGATTCTGCCACCACCATGCTTCACTGTAGGGAGGGTGCCAGGTTTCCTCCAGACGTGACGCTTGGCATTCAGGCCAAAGAGTTCCATTTTGGTTTCATCAGACCAGAGAATCTTGTTTCTCATGGTCTGAGAGTATTTAGTTGCCTTTTGGCAAACCAAGCAGGCTGTCATGTGTCTTTTACTGAGTGGTTGTTCCGTCTGGCCACTCTACCATAAAGGCCTGATTGATGGAGTGCTGCAGAGATGGTTGTCCTTCTGGAAGGTTCTCCCATCTCCACAGAGGAACTCTAGAGCTCTGTCAGAAAACTTTTGGGGAATGTTCAGTGGTGGTTGTTACAGATGTTTTCCACAACATTTTATTGAATGTTAGCAGAACATTCTAAACACTAAGTAGAACTTAATGGGAATCCTAGCTAATGTTCTGTAAATGTTCTCTCCTTTAGGAGGTAATGCTGCGTTCACGTGCTATTGGAAACTTCGTGTTAAAATTAAGATAAGTTATTTGCGTAGAGCTTCCTATTGGTTGATTCTGGTACTTTCAAGTGGGAAATTCAGAGCTCATGTTTCTACAACGAGTTTCCAAGTAGGAGAATTCTGAGTTTCCTAGTTCCGACTAGCACATGAACACTGGACTCAGTTATATCATTCCTATAGGACATCACTGAGAGGTCTTGATGTCACTGGTTTTTCTTTCTAAACCAGAGCTTCCTGTGGACATAAAGGGCTCTGCTTATGAGGCATCCTGTGACCTATTCATTCACTACATGGGTGTCAGCAAGCATGTGACTATTTCACGACATGAGTGTTGTCATGTGACTTTCACTTCCTATTTCTGACATAGTGTAGTGAGATATATATTACATTTACGTCATTTAGCAGACGCTCTTATCCAGAGCGACTTACAGTTAGTGAGTGCATACATTATAATTATTATTATTATTTAATCATACTAGCCCCCCGTGGGAATCGAACCCACAACCCTGGCGTTGCAAACGCCATGCTCTACCAACTGAGCTACATCCCTGCCGGCCATTCCCTCCCCTACCCTGGGCCAATTGTGCGCCGCCCCATGGGTCTCCCGGTCGCGGCCGGCTACGACAGAGCCTGGATTCGAACCAGGATCTCTAGTGGCACAGCTAGCACTGCGATGCAGTGCCTTAGACCACTGCGCCACTCGGGAGATGTGTGTGTGTGTGTGTGTGTGTGTGTGTGTGTGTGTGTGTGTGTGTGTGTGTGTGTGTGTGTGTGTGTGTGTGTGTGTGTGTGTATATATATATATATATATATATATATATATGTATATGTGTTCTAGAAGGTTGTCTTTTTTAGTGACTTTAGTCATCTGTCTGAAATGTACACAATGTTGCATTCTCCTGAACACGACAGTGATTCCATATATTATAGTTGTATATAATACAATCAGTACCCAGCAGAGGGAGGTAGAGTCAATGCTGATGATGTCCTGACTGACTCACTCGGGCAGTGAAGTGGAGGCTTTCCTGTTCACTGACCTTGGCAATTGCTGCACTTGCCTCCTTTGTGTTTGTGTCACAGTGAGACTGGGAGAGATTGAGTATACATGGACACAACTGGCTGTTGGAGAAACACACACACACCACCCATGCACACACACACCTCTCCTGCCTTCGATTGGCGTGGACTCATGATTCACCAAGCTGCTTAGAGGGAGGGGGTAACTGCTCTTGAAAACAATAGAGTTGTCAATGCACCTCACAACCAGAGGGTAGATCTGATTTCAAGGTTAGGCAGAGAGGCTGTGATGACTATAGTTCTCCTAGTGTGTGTATGTGTTAAGTCTCAGCGCAGACACATGACTCCGAGTTCCTGCTT